TTAAAAAACAATAGAAAGAATCAATTAGTTGAAGAGCTACTTGTTTGAAAGAATAAACAAAATTGACAAACCTTTAGTCAATATTATCCAAAAAGGCCTAAATCCCTGCAGTTAGCAATGAAAAAGGCGAAATCACAAACAGGTTTCACTTAAATCCAAAAGATTATTAGGAACTATCCTGAAAAACCTGTATTCCAATGAATCGGAGAATCCAGAAGAAATGAGTAGATTCTTAAGATACATATGAATGGCCAAAACTTAACCAAGAAGATCTGAAAACCCCAAATGAAAGGCACTGAAAGTGAAGCAGAAATAGAAAATAAATAACCAGCAAAGAAAAGCGCAGGACTTGGTGAAGTTCTTCAAGAACTTCAGCCATGACCTAATGCCAATACTCCTCAAACTCTTCTTTAATGAAAATGAAAAGGAATGGACCCGCCCCAAACCATTGCTGAAACCTAGCAATACCCTGATTACACAATCGGACAAGGACTTAACAAAAACACAAACAAAAAACCACAGGTAAATTTCCCTAATAACACAGACGCAAAACAAAAACAAAAACAAAAAACAAACAAAAAGAACACAGATGCAAAATTCTCAACAAGATTCATGCAAGCAGTTCAACAAATCATCAAAAAGACCTGTACCATGACCAAGTTGGCTTCATCCCTGAGATGCAGGGATGATTCAACATACAAAAATCAATAAATATAATCCATCACATAAAGAGAAGGAAGGCCAAAAATCACACAACCATCAATATAGGCAGAAAAATCCTGACCAAATCCAACACTCATTCTTGATAAAAACCCTGAATAAAATATGTATAATCGGACCTTATCTGAGTTTGATGAAAGTTATTCATCAAAAACCTATTGCCAACGCCATATTAGATGAGGAACTAAAAGTTACTCCACTCCAAATCAAGAACAAGAGACGCACTTCCACTATCATCATTCCTATTCAATACAGACTTGAAACTTTAGTCAGATCAATCAGCCGAGAGAAAGAAATGAAAAGGATACGTATAAGAAAGGAGGAAGTCAAATTACTCTTATTTGAAATGGCGTGATTCCCTACAGAGAAGACCCAAAAAATACCACCAACTGACACCTAAAAAGAATGAGTAAATTCAGGATATAAAATTAACACACAAAAATCAATAGTGTTCTTGCACACTATTAATTAACCCATCAAGAAAGAAGTTACGAAAACAATGCAACTTACAGTACCCTCAAAGAAATTATGCAGCAACTAGCCCACGACAGGAAGGGCTTCCAGGTGAAAACTACAGTACTCAGAAAAATAAGTTTTAAGAGGGCATCCCAAAAAGGAAAAGAAAGATATTCTCTGTTCCTGAACAGGCAGAACCAATGTTGTCAAAATGGCCATACTACCAAAACAGAAGTACACATTTAATGCAATTCCAATCGAAACCAATAGCATACCTCATAGAAATAGAGAAAACAATCTTAAAATTCATGAGGAACTAAGAGAGACCTAGAATGCTTAGCATTTTGGCCGTTAGAGAAATGCAAACGAAAGTGATCCTGGGTAAGATGAGCAAAGTAGGAAGCATCACAATCTCAGGCTTCAAGTTATATTAGCAAGTGGAGGAAATAAAAATAGCATGGTACTGATACAAAAGAGACATGTCAATCAATGGAACACAATAGAGGATGCAGAAACAACCCTAGTCATATTGAGATATCAGGCCTTTGACAAAGGGGCCAAAAACATATGCTAGAGACAAGAAAGCTTCTTTAAAAAAACGATGCTGGGAAAACTGATTGTGGAATGTAGACAATTGAATCTACACTCGTTATCTCTCTCCTTGTACTAAACTCAAAAGAAAATGGATCAAAGACCTACGTGTTGGGCAGGGATTGTAGCTCAGTGGCACAGTGCCTGCCTGGCAAGCTCAAGGCCCTGAGTTCGATTTCCAGTACACCCCCTCCTCTCAAAAACAAACAAACAAACAAACAAAAAAACCCAACCCAGATATTAAACAGAAAACAATCTGCTAGAAGATGAAATAGGTAAAACTTGAAGCCACAGGCAGAGGTATGGACTTTCTAAATACAACCACAGTTGCAAAACAATTCCAAGAATCAAAAAATGGGATTATATAAAATTAAAAAGCTTTTTCATAGGAAAGGAAAAAGCAACAGAATGAAGAAACAAGCTCGAAAATGGAAAAAAATTTGCAAGCACTCCTTGGACACAGCACTAATATACAGAATGTATTTTAAAAACAAAAACATTAGATCCCCAGAAATAAGTGGTTAGCATTCTGGCCTCTCCAGAAACACTAATGAAGGGAACACGGAGCTTCCAGAAAGTACAAACGGGAACACAACCTTCTGAGTTAGGTATTGGGATTATTAATGACTACAAACCCATTTCATGAGTGAAGATACTAACTGTGTCAACGTGATGTGATTACAAGTGGGAGAACTTGGCAGGAAGGAGGGTTGCAAAGAATCAGAACGAGTGTCTTAAAGCACAGCACTGTATTAGTCACTCAAGGAAAATCCACACTATTCACCACTTTGGAGGTCTACTTTGCTTTAAGGGAAAACTTCTCAATCAGATCTAATCAGGAAGGCAGCTGTGTGGCCATTGTTTGAAGCAGCCCAGCAGCTCTTTCCCCCCACCCCCATAAACATTGCCTCAGGTGCAACTGTTTCAGCTCAATTTCTTTCCCGAAACCCCCGAAGGCAATGGCTGGGATTTCACTGTGACACCCTGCCCGTTGGGGCTGACTGGCCTCCCAGCCTGCCTTCTGCCTTCCCCAACCCTGCTAAATGAGCACTTGACTGGGAGCCTTCAACTTTGCCATTGCGGACACCCCGAATCCACACCAGTCCCTAATCTCTGGTTTAGAGACCAAAACTGGGCTAAGAAAGGTAACTGGGCTAAGAGGGCTGCCAGTATCTTGGCCCTAGACGCTCAAGGTCAACAAAGGATCCAGGACATGAGAGAACCTCTTCTACTGGATCCTACATTTCGGAAAGTATGCAGTCAGCAAACTTGTCATAGCTTGCTACCAGCCCCTTGTACTCTACCTACTGAGACTACCTCTCAGCCTTCTAAAGCCCCCACCCAGCAAAGGCCCTTTGCCAGCAGGAAGGAGCTACAGAAAAACAGACCTTTGCCCCTATTCCGTAATAACAAGAGTCTGGAAAAAAACAGTTCTCTACCACACAAAATGGACCCAACAGACCTACATTCCCAAATGGCTCCCATTCCTAAAATGGTTACTGCTTCCAGAAATGAGCCACACTGGAAAAATTAAACCTACCCCCTCTGGAGAAGCAAAACCTAACTTGTCACTCCACCCTGCTACCCACCGGATCCTCCCCTTTCAATCACCTCGCAGCCCCTTGCTCAACTCTCCCAGTACTCTCCCCGCTGCTCAGCCCTATACAAACCTCGCCACAGTTAGTCTCACCCTCTCTCACCATTGTTCCAGGTAGCCTGGCAGCTCTTTTTCTCAATAAAACCTTGCCTGGGGGGCTCGTGCTAAATAAAAAAAAATTTTTTAAAAAGAAGGCAGTTCACCATCTGACAAACCAGTCGGGAGGAAGGGTGGGCCCAGGCTGGGAATGATGTGTGACCAGTGGGTCACACAAAGATCATCTTTCCAATCTGTCCTTTTCTCCTACAATGGTTCCAGGACTAACATGCATACATTCCTAGATCCAAGTGCAGAAAAGCATTTTCCATTCCTTCATCTTTCTTGAGACCAAGAAGTACATACTTCAAAAGCCCTTGGCAGAGACTCTCCCTCTCACCTTGGCCAGCACCGGGTCACTTCCCCTTCTGTGGTTAGTAAGGAGCCCACAGAAGGGATGGTCACGGTGTCTCCGAGGAAAGTCTGGAAACGGGATGGCTCTTGGCAGAATTCAGTTCTTATCCACGCCGAGAGACTCAGCTAGACAACACTCCCTCCAGCACGCTGTCGCTAGCTTCTTCTCCACACCCCAGACCGCAGACATTGCTCTGAGTTCTCACAACATCTCCGCTCTCTCAACTGCAATGCCACTCAGCTGTTCCCACATGGTTATATTTCTGTCTTGCCCATTGGCCAGGACCCAACAAAGTCTAGCAACTTTGTGTGGTTTGCCCATCACAGAGCCCTGGCCCAGTAGCTATCCACAGATGGCTACCAGATGAAGTAAGAATAGGGATCGTCTACAAATAACTCACTTAGCATGTCCACCTTTTAGGATCCATACTACTGACCTATGTGGCAAAGGAAGAAATTCCTGCATGATGAGGTTAGGTAGTCACCCTAACATCACACAACCAGGAAGAGACCGAATTCCGTGCCAGTTCTGCCTGACTCCAGATGCATGTGCCCTTGGTGGTGGGGCACGGCCTCTATGGATTCTTGGACCTTTGGTGAAGTCTGAGCTAGAAAGAAATCTCACGGTACAGAGTTCAGAAAGGAAAGTCCTGGAGGCTGGTCCCTGTGTCCAGAGCTGATCCAGTGATCACGTCACTCCCAGATCAATGTTACCACCCCTTACTAGTGCCAGGCCGTCTTCTCTGCGCCCAGAATACTGTCCGACAAACCTCACCAACTTCCTGCTCACATCAGGTTACATTCTAGTGGGAGGGAAGGGAAAGTAAAGTAAACAAGCAAACACACAACATGTCCAGTTGTTGAATGTTATAAAGAGAGCTGTACTGATTTTAACAACGGAAACAGTGATATCTGGGTGGGACTGTGGCTCAGTGGTGCAGCACTTGCCACCCATGGGCAGGGACCTAAGTATTACATCAAACAAAATAATAATAATTAAAGCATCAATAGTATGTGACTTTTTTTTGCCAACTTTCTCAAATGATTATAAAACATTCATATAAAGATAGTTTCAGTTCTAAGGAACAAGCTTCCTTTAATGAGAACAAACAATAGCATGATGCTTTTCCAGAAATGGTAAATTCCCTTGGGTAAATGACTGTGACCTGTGCAAGGTAAAGGGTGTTGAAAAGTGTTCACCTACCTTCTACAATGCCTGGGAAAAGGAGTCTGAGTCCCAACCACACGACAGGTGGATTAGTCAGTGTCTGTCCGGTCTTTTGCTCGCAGGTGTTGTGTAATTTTGGTGCTCGCACGAGTCACCTCTATCCTACTGGGTTGAAAATGCAAAGTATGGTATTAGTACTGTCATGTAAAAGAAGAGTGAAGCCAGTAAATACCTAGCAATGCCTGCTTCTGAGTGTAAAAGAAAATGAAGAAACCAACATGGCCCTTGCATTAGGCATCTTCCTGCACGTGGGTCTGAAAGAGACAGAACAGCAGGGGGAATTCAAAGAAGGGGTTTAGGGACTGCTAAAGGTGAGGAGGGGCCAAAACAGCAGGAGAAGTCTAGGAGAAAATTATTTCCAGTGAAGAGCTTACCTGGTCACCACGGTCACTCATCGGTGGGCTCACACCGCAGATGCTGCTGACAATCGTCTGACATCTACATCTCTCATCTACAAAACAACATAACACGAGTGGCTAAGGTGTATTTGTGCAACCGGCCTTACTGAGGGCACGCTGTGCTCAGCGGTCCTCCGGCGAAATGTCCAATGTAGCCTCATCCTGAAGACAGAGTTTAGTCTGAGGAAGTGAAATTCTATCCAAGAGATGGTGTAAAGAAGGAAAAACTGGGGGCTCCACTAATACAAGACAATTGAGAATAGCCTGGGAATAGAAGACACGATGCTTCCCAACCCTTGAATGAACAGAAATTTGAGCACAGGATCTGCTGTATCTACTCACTCACAATATATTACCTCTAGCTGAGGAAGAGCTGGCTAACAATACCTGTCCACTAGGAAGTGGAAAACTATAGCACCGATACCACATGGTCCTGGACTCTCCCCAGTGTGGGGAGGAAAAAAAAAAAAAAAGCACAAACACTGGATAAACAGAAGATCACGCCGAGATACTTCCTGCATCCATACAACACATACTCCTGCAGGATGACAGTCCTTAGAGGGCTCCCAGTCTGAGAGACAAGATGCTGAACAAAACAAGGCTGAACACATGAGCCCCAGAAGGACTGGAACAGAGAGGAGGAGGGCCCGGAGCCCAGGTGGTCAGGCAAGGCTTCTTCCTAGGTTGGTGTGACACAGTGCAGGTAGAACAGGGCCAGTAAGTAAGATTTTTCAGAGTTGGGAATATTTGCATATGCAAAATGACGTATCTGGGAGATGGTTCCACAGCCTAAACACAAAATTCACTCGTGTGTTATATATGTCACATACACACAGCCGAACAATACTTTTACACAATAGTTTAATGCACCTGTGACTGTGCGTGTAGACTGTGTGTGTGCACCCAGTGTGTGTTTGCCGGGGATCCAACTCAGGGCCCCAGGAATGCAAAGCACACCCTCTCTATTACTAGCTACACCTCCAGCCATCCTGCATTTTAACTCCAAGATGTCAGAGGAGATCACGTCTAGAATTTTCCACCTCTACTATCGTGCTAGTTCTCAAAGATGTTCAGGTTTTGAAGTATTTCAGTTTTGAGGTTTCAGATTAGGGATGCTCAATGTGTATTATTAGCCCTGGTTTCACGTGAGGGAAATGAGGATACCAGGGGTTCAGCTACTTCAGGTCACACAGCTAGGTAGTGATGGTACCCATTTCTCACTCACTTAGGCCTGTTAAAACACAAAGGTCTCGGTACTATTCCTATTCCCTATATCAATCTCTCCTCTCATACCTGTCACCTGCTTTAATGCACACTCACCATCTTGTGCTTCTATCACTACCCTTACCTTGAAATTCTAATAATCTTCTAACACCACATAAACTCTGTCATAGCACATGATTATAACAGTCCAATTGCCCATCAACTGGAGACTCGATAAAGAAGATGGAATGTGGATGTATTTTTATATAAAATGGAGTACTACTAGCCATAAAGAAAGAGAAACTAGAGACATGTATAGCTAAGTGGATGCACAATGAGGCCACACTCTTAAGTGAAATAAATAGGACACACACGTGTGAATACCGAATAGTTTCTCTGGTGTCAAAAACTAAAAGTGTAAATAAGGATCAAAATGTATCATAGGAAAAGAAGGTCTAAAAGCCTAGAGGAGGTGAGAGAGGTAGGCGAAAGGTAAAAAGGGAGAAGAAAAAATATGAGAAAAAGGAAAAACATGGAAACAATGTTTTTGTAAACAGGGAAGGGTGGAGGGGTTGAAGGGAGGGCTGGGGAATGGGGGAAAGATAAGAACCAAGATACGGCACGTAAAGGTACGACACCCCAATGATGACTGTTAACTGTATTGTAAACCTAAAGCGTACCAATGAATTTAATTTTTCAAAAAGCATGTAAATTTTCCCTGTAATGAACGACTGCCGGGCCTAGAACTGAACACGGATCTTGAGTGCAGCTTTAATGAACTTGATGTGTAAAGGAAATGAATCACCAAGATTTCGTTTTAACCGAGCTTTCTCACACAACCCATGCACAATTTGCAGTGCAATCCACCTCCAACCAAAAAGAGTTCAACCAGGGTTTCCCCACCAAAATTATACCCCAAACACTGTCTCCAGTGCCCAGATGATCCAGGCTAAAAGACACCGCCCCCCTGACAGGGAGCCATTGAAATCCTGCTCCTTCAAATGTAGAAATCCTTCCCTTCCAGCCTTTCTGTGCGCTGGTAGAGGCTCACCTGAGCCAAGCTATTCACTCGGCCTTTTTGGACAAGCGAAGCCAAACAATCCTGAAACATACTGGTCAACACACAAATCCAGTGTCTCCAAGAAGCAAGCCTGTGTGAATCTAGGGAGTGGGTACCGGAAATGCCCCTGGAAATGTGACCAATCCTCACACCACATTTCTGAACCCACCGAGGTCCACTGCTGTACTCAAGCAAAGGGGATAACCAAAGACGCCTTTCTTCCCTGACTACCACACACTCCAGCCTGCACAGTTACTTGACAACGGTCCATACTTGAGCGCTAGTTGATGCAGGAACCACAGAGCCCACGAAAAGCACACGTACTCATTCCTAAGTCACATCCTGACCACTGTCCCTCAGGAACAGTTTCTCTGAAGTTTCCATTTTGGAAATGTCGCCTTCCTCGAAAACACTGGAGTCTCACATTGTGGGTTGGGAGATGAGGCGGAGGACGGCGATGCCAAAGAAACAGGTCATCTGTGACCCAAACACGAATCTGGGCCCAAGGACACCCCGGCTGCTAAACGATGCCTACAGGAAGTTTCGTTCCTATTTCCCCTCTGAAAGACAGCAGTCCCCCCGCTACAGAAAGGAGTACGCCACGCGCAGATCGTCCGGACGCCATTCCCCATTCCGATAGCGAAGCGACGGGCTGTCCAAGAAAAACCAGTCCTCTCCCGAGCGCCCTTCACCCCCTGGCCCGGGGACCGTTCTGTTCCCAGATGCACGCTTGCCCTGCTCTAGGAGATCCTCCCGGGGCCTGTGCCCTACTCCTGTCTCCTCCTCTCACCTGCCCTGTCCTAGGGCGGCTCTCTCTCCCTCTCTCGCCCTCTTGGCTGGCTGCGGCTCCAGCTCCCTCCGCGCCCTCTCCCCCCCTCTTCGCCTCTCCTTCGGCCTCTCCGTGGCTCTCTGGGTTGCTCCCTGGCGCTCTTTCGGTGGCGCTGGCTGTCGCTGCCCCTCTCTCCCCCTCCATCCTTGTCCTCTCTCCCCGCTCCCTTGGGTTCAAACTCAGTCGCTCTCGGCCTGCCTCACGCGCGTTCGCTCTCCGGAGCGGGTCTCGCCGTCCAGTCGCCGGCGTGCGGTCTCCTCTCCTCAGCGCTGCAAAGGCGGCCAGGCGCGAGGAGGGAACGGGTGAAGCCCACCCGAAGGAGCCCCGCCTCCGGGGGCTGAAGAGGCAGCCCCGGGAAAGTTGGGTGCGCGCGCCGGGGTTTCGTCACCGCGAAGCGACGCCTCCGAGAAGCTGGGCCTTCATTGGCTGCCGCCACTGCCCTCAGCGGTCGGGAGAAGATGATTGGTGGTTTCCTCTGCCAGCCAGGCCTGGCTGTCCTCGGACCCGCGCTGTCCGGCTCTGCCCGGCGGGGACCGGAGTCCAGGCTGCCTCGGGATATCGCGTCTCTGCCGCTCGCCGCTCTGGAGCGACCTCTAGGGTGTGGGTTGAGGACTCCACGGTGCTTGTCGAGGCGGTGGGAAGAGATTCTGGGCGGTGTGCGTGACGTCGTCGGAGGGGGCTCGTGGGAGCCGCCGAGCGTTCGCTAGAAGCCGCCGGCCCCTGTTCTGCCCGCCGGTTCTGGTACGGAGTGTGCACGCCAGAGCGGATCTCGGACTTTGGTTTGGTTCATTTACCGGTTGTGCTTGGGCGAAAGGAGCCCAGCCGGCCAGACCACGAAATCAGTAAAAAATGTCGTTTATAAGGTGTGCTCCAGCTGGATGAACAAGATGTGTTTTTTGTTTTTATATAAAATGGAGTACTACTCAGCCATAAAAGTGAGAAACTAGAGTCATTCGCACGAAAATGGTTGCATATTCAGGTCCTACTCTGACGTGAAATAAATAAGACCCACATGTGTAAATACCGAGTCGTTTCTCTGGTGTGAAAACGTAAAAGTGTAAATAAGATCCAAACTGGATAATGTGAAGTAGGAAGAAAAGGGCTAAAAGTGTAGGGGAAGTGGGAAGGGCAGGGCAAAGAAATAAGGGAAAGGACAAAATAGGAGAAAAGGAAAAAGTGGAAGCAAAATCTTTGTAAATAGGGGAGGATGGAGGGGGTGAAGGGAGGGTATGTAAAGATTCAAGGTCCCAGTGATGAACATAACTGTACTGTATACCTAAAAAGTAGCAATAAACTCAAAACAAAAAATACAAAAAAAAAAAAAAAAAAAAAAAAAAAAAAACCTAAAACAAAGGTCTGCTCCAATAGGCAGAGCACCCCCCAGATGTGGCAACCGATTGTCTCGGTGGGGTTGCGATTGTCTCAGTGGGGTTGCTTTCGGCTTTTAGTTTAATGGAGAGCCCTACAGAAGCTGTATGGGGAGAGTTACTGCGGGAGCTTTCGGTCCACGGAACCAGGGAATGTTTAGCTCTGTGCCCAGCTATTTTTTTAGGAAGACAAACTTCCATTCTAAGTGGATCACCCGTGAGAGGCAAGGAACAAGGAATAGGTCTGTCATTCGTGAGTGTTACGAGAGTCGGGACAGAGTGGACAGACAAGCGTTTTTATCTGTGTCATTTGAGGAAGCGTGGTTCTTTGTGTTCAGCAGTGTCCCAGAGGAAGCAAGTGTGTGGGGATTTCTGTACCTTGGCTCATTTCAGGAAACAGGTGAAGTTCAGCATCAGAACAAGGTGAACTTAAGCTAGGTGTCTTTCGTGTGTGTCCACGCAGACAGATACATAAGAGATTGCCTTTTTATCGTGAAATTGTCTTACCCAGGGACTGCACTTTGCAATATTGAGAGGTAATTTTTTGGCCGGGCATGGTGGCGCACGCCTGTAATCCCAGCACTCGGGAGGCTGAGGCAGGAGGATGGCTGTGAGTTCAAGACCAGCCTGGGCTACATAGTGAGTTCCGGGTCAGTCTCAACTACATAGTGAAACCCTGTCTCAAAAAACCAAAAAAAATAATAATAATAATAATTTTTTTGTGGCCTATAGAAGGCCAAAATGAATAATGCCAGAGGACTATCAGAGGCCCCGTTTTACAAATGAAGTAAATGTCACAGTTGAAGTCACCTGCCAAAAGTCACAGAAGGATTAAGTGGTGGATCAGATTGAAACCTGGATGTCTGTGACTTCATTGCCTCCCTGTTAGGCAGCCCTGTGCTTTTCCTTTCCAGAAGCATATGATCCAGCTCAGGCTTTTAAACAATAGACCTCTTGAGCGGGCTGACAACCCTTACTCCCCCACACATATGGCACTGAAGGAGTTGTAGACAACCTCAAGGGCAGAGAGCAATGTTAACGATCTTAGGTCCCAAAGGCCCACCTTACTCCGTCCAAGGAGAGAGGCTACAGGCAGGAGATTAGAGAATGTGCGGAGTATGTTTCTGTGGGAGACAGGCTGATGGGATACTACAATCCACAAGAGTGATGATAAACAGTGACAATTTCCAAATCATTCTTTTACCCATTCCTTCTTGCCTGCTCGCCTGCCTGCCTTGACAATACCATCCTCAGATCCGATGTGGAACTCCACACCTACATGGGTAAGGAGAGAGATTCCCATTTTACCTGAGGAGTACCTGACCAGCAGCCCACCATGCTACTGTGCATAATGTGAGAAACATTCTTCTACTGTGAATGAATGAAGCCAGTCAGTTGTGTTTCCTCATTAGTGTTATTCCCGTGTAACAGATGAGGTATCTTAAGCACAAAGAGGTTGGGGCAGCTCCCCAACTTCACTCAAGTCACGTGGTGAGTCCCGCAGCCCCTAGTGCTCACCATGTCCCAAACCCGTGCTGTCCACCTCAATCCTTTGCACATTTGCCCTTCCTCTGGTGCTGCCTAACTCGGTGAAAGACACCACCTTCTGCCTCCTACTGAAGCTAGAGGTGCTTGAAGCCATCTTGATGACTGCCTCTCTGACCAGCCCGACCATCCCAAAGCCCTGGCAACTGTCCTCAGCAAGATTTTCTAAGGAACGGTTTTACACTCTCTTCTTCCCACTACCACAATTATCTGGTCCAGTGTCTCCTTAACAGTCACCAAGTCAGAGCTGGTGCTCTTGCCACTAGTCCTGACCCCTTCCTGCACACTCTATCCTAAAGCCAGAGGGACCTTTTCACTTGCCAGTCAGGTCCTGTCCCCCCTGTGGAAACACTGCAGGTCTGCCACATGCTCAGGACACCATCCAGCCTTTTAGACCAAGTACCTCTGGCCCCGCCTAGTCCCAGATGCCTCCTCTGTAGCACATCCCTGCATCTGCTGCAGCCCACACCCACATTCTCCCCAATCTAACTCTCTTCTGTTCACCAGGTGACCCACACTTTGTCTTCCTCTGATGTCTTTAGCCTCCTGATGAACTTCCCTTTCTGTGGGATGAGCCTCCTCCCTCTTCATCTTTCTGATTTTCCCTTGCCTTCTGGTTTCAGATGAAGTAGAGAAGTTTCCGTTTTACCTAGGGAGTCGCTGGGTGGAGAGGCACACTTAATGGCTTTGCTTGTTTTACTATTACATGGTACAAATTCATTATCATTCCCCAGATGACTCACCGAATTGTAAAAAATCAGACAGCAAGGTATCTGGGGGGAAATTCTTATTTTGCAAATACGTATAATACTCAGATATATCTAGGGAAGGTAGAAGCTTAATTTGCTCGAGTGTAGCAATCCTTTCACTCCGTGTGTCTGTGTGTATATGTGTGCCTGTGAAATCATGTTTTGTACCGTCCATCTATAGGATAACGTTTTAAAGAAGTCAGATCACCTACATGAATATAATGAAAGGGTATGTGTAAAATCCTTTAAGAAAAAGAGTACAATACACATAGCATAGGTTTCCCTGTCATTCATATGGACCTATTGTTGCATTTCAGTTTGGAATTTGCAATTGTGGACACAATGTTTGTGTCTCGGAGGGATCAGGTCCAGGGGGCACCCTCCCAGTGAAGGAGTAACAGAAACAGGGAAAGAATGTTTCCCTTTATGGTGTCCTTGACCAAGTAAATCGAAATACAAAGGACACGAACAATCCTCGCTTTGGTGAGGTGGTTTCTTGCAGTTTCCATTACAACAGGAGCTTTGTGTAAGGACCCCAGAGTCTGTCTGAGCTGTCCTCCCTCTGCCAGGGGGTGGGTTCAATAGTCCTTGTTGGTTATCAGGCCAGAATCAGCTGCCTTCTGGCTAAAGGGCGCCTGCTAAGTGCATCTGCTATGGTTTCATGCAACTCCTTAGTTGTGCTCAATAGGTGTCCTAGAGTCCTGGAGAGAACCACGCCCAGTGAAGAGGTCAAAGCCACACCTGGTTGTGTCTGCTACAGAGTCAACTGTGAAGGAGAATTCCATTTCCTATCGCCCAGTATTCTTAGCACGGCACACCTGAGCATAAAGTGAAGCCTGTTCCCTGGGGAGGTCAATAAAGAGAAAAGTTGGAAATCGTACCAGTCTGGCCACATCCACCACAACAACCCCAAACAGGGTTTAGGGGCAGACTAGACTCCCAGGGGTCCCGGTACGCTGTTCTCCACACTTATGTGTCCCTCCAACAGGGCACAGTGTGAGTGGCTCTTCCTGTAGCTAGTTATGAGGACCTGTTATATTCTTCACCTGCGTAGCTTGTAGTTCCAAAGGCCCAGAGAAAGAAGCGCCTAACATTCCATCTACAGACTAGGATACAAATTAAAGGAGTTAGGTTGCTGAGGCAGAAAAAGATGGCCGTAGGAGTTCCTTTAGTACAAATATTCTCGTTTAACTTCCTGCTTGTTTTTATAAGACTTTTTTTTTTGGTACAGAGGATCGAACTCAGCACCTTGTGCTTGCAAGGCAGGCGGTAGCAGCATTAAGCTAAATGCCCTACTTGTTTAACGAGTGTCTGCATTTAGGACCGAGGCATGATGTTTGGACTTACAACTCGCTGCTCACACGACTGGTGTTTTTTTGTACCATTCTGTATATCTTGTTTCTAGAACCCAATGTCTTTCTTGTACAGCACGGTCATGTTTGCTGATTGTACTGTATGGTGCTGTAGTTTTATGTCTGTTGTGTATTACAGTAGTGATTGTAGTAGTTTTGCAAAGTTATCAAGTTGCAGTTTCCTTTGACCGTTTATTTGTTCTGCATATGGTAATGTAAATAATATATACAATCCCTCTTTTAGTGACCCAGTTGCAGGGTCAGAACTCGATGGTTAAACGAGGAATAGCTGTACTATCTGAGTCCAAAGCCAGGCTGCTTTCTAATCACAGTGACACCCTCTGCTCACGTAAGATTTGCTAAGGTGCAGCTATTGTGCCCTGATGGGATGGTCTTCATTGTCCTACCGCTAAGTCCACCTGTCCACATCAGGTAAAGGTATCCTGAGAGGCTCCGGGGTAGTCTGCGTGCGCCATCCCAGAAGCCGCCCAGACCTGACAACTCTGGAGTCCTTTGGTAAGAAAGGCTGCCTTCGGTTAACAGTGGTGGAACACTAA